ATACGCTATCAATGGCTCTATACAATACGAAAAATTCACATAAGAAACAACAAAGACGCTTCATAATCACCTACGCTACCAATGGCTCTATACACTACGAATGCTTCCCAGAAGACGCTTCAAAACCACATAGGCTATCAATGGCTCTATACACTACGAATATTTCACCGAAGAAACAACTTCACAGGATCGACAACAAAGACGCTTCAGACCCACCTACGCTACCAATGGTTCTGAGGACCCAATACGTTTGTTTGGAACCAGGCATAAGAAACCCCTGCTCGATATTGTAGTCAAGAATAGTGGTATCCTGAAAAAGTGGTAGAATAACAGCCTATTCCGGTTATATACCCAATATTCAAGTTTTCGACGCTTTCCTACCCCCGCTAAACCGGAAACGTGAATTTAGATTCCCATTTTCCAGTCCATTTCCAAATGCCCATTCATTGATTTAATTTCAACCCCCACTTTCCAGTCCGTTTCCAAATGCCTGTCCATTGATTTAATTTCAACCCCCACGTTCCAGTCCGTGTCCCAATGCCTATGTCTTCATTGATTTTTTTTTGAATCTCACTTTCCAGTCCGATTCTAAATGCCTATTCACTATTTTGATTCCAAACCCCACTTTCCAGTCCGTTTCCCAATGCCTATTTATTAAATAATTTTTTTGAATCCCACTTTTCAGTCCGATTGCAAATGCCTAATCACAATTTTGATTCTAAACCCCACTTTCCAGTCCGTTTCCCAATGCCTATTCATTAATTTAATTTTAAATCTACTTTCCATTCCGTTTCCAAATGCCTATTCACTAATTTAATTCTAAATCCCAATTTCCAGTCCGTTCCTTAATACCTATCCATTAATTTTATTCTAAACCCCACTTTCCAGTCCGTTTCCAAATGCCTATTCATTACTTTTATTGCTCCTACGCCTACGGTCCCCAGGGGATGTCGACCTCGTCTGTTCGGTACCTCTGAGTGCACCACGAGTCCTCTATACTAGTCCTGTAGCCGCTTTCGTACTGTAGCATGCCTGCCTGTGCGATCATCGCGCCGTTGTCAATGCAGTATCTGTCGTCTGTGGAGAAGCACATGCCGCCCCTCTCACCCGCCATGATGCCCATCATCTCCTGTAACCGCACGTTGCCTGGGAGAGCCACAGATACGGGAGAGTGCAATACAGTAAGCACGTATGAAATGAATACTAGGGGTTGGGAGTGTAGCCTTTAGGGTTTATGACTCACCATCATATACAACCGTACAGTATTACCTGAAGAAGTGGCAATTATCGCTATAGTGTGCGATTGTAATTCGCGTGGTACTTTGGTTGCGGGATGTCATGCGTAAGAGTTCATAGATCCCATCACTCCATATACGCGCGCGCTGTCTGAGAGGAGAGCGAGAGAGAAATGCCACAGAATAGCCCATGCAACACAAGAGCAACACATACATCAACACACCACACCAGAGTGAGAGAGGACGATGCATGTGGCTGTGGGTGTGTTGATGGGTGGTACATCACACTAGTAGCTCACACGCAACACTCTTACCCACAGATAGTAACACAAGACACATGCACATAGCTACAAATGCAGATGCCACTTACACCCGACACCTCCGACGACCAAGACTTCAGTTGATTGCACATGTGCCATGGCCCGTTCGGTGATCTCTACCAGCATTGCAAATAAGGTTTCCTGCAAGGAGAAGCACAGATCCTCGGGCGTGCACTCTCCCTGGGGATGGATGAGTACAGTACAAGTGAGTCTATTTATAGCTAAGTCTATTCGTGGTGGGATCTATTTATAGCCTAGTTTTTTATAGAGTGTAAGGAGAAGCACAGATCCTTGGGCGTGCACTCTCCCTGGGGATAGTTCAGTACAGTACACGTGAGTCTATTTATAGCTGCGTCCATTCGTGGTGGGATCTATTTATAGCCTAGTGTTTTACAGAGTGTAAGGAGAAGCACAGATCCTCAGGCGTGCACTCTCCCTGGGGAAGGTTCAGTACAGTACAAGTGAGTCTACTTATAGCTGAGTCCATTCGTGGTGGGATCTATTTATAGCCTAGTTTTTTTATAGCGTGTAAGGAGAAGAATAGATCCCTCGGACGTGCACTCTTCCTAGGGATAGTTCAGTACAGTACAAGTAAGTCTATTTATAGCTGAGTCCATTCGTGGTGGGTTCTATTTATAGCCCAGTCTTCTATAGAGGAGTTGTATATGACTGTACTTACTATGCACAAGCTGAATGTAATACTGTAGTGCTTGTCAGCTCTCAAGCGAAACAGTCATGCTGGCAGCGTGTTGGAACACGTGCAAACCGGAGAAGCGAGTACAAAACACGAAAGAAACTACCTGTACACTATAGACACGAAAGAAACTACCTGTACACTATAGACACGAAAGAAACTACCCGTACACTATAGACATGAAAGAAACTACCTGTACACTATAGACACGAAAGAAACTACCTGTACACTATTGACATGAAAGAAACTACCTGTACACTATAGACACGAAAGAAACTACCTGTACACTATAGACACGAAAGAAACTACCTGTACACTATAGACACGAAAGAAACTACCTGTACACTATAGACACGAAAGAAACTACCTGTACACTATAGACACGAAAGAAATTACCGGTACATTATAGACACGAAAGAAACTACCTGTACACTATAGTAGGACATAACTCCTACAAGGCAATGCATGACATACAGTACACGCAACTCCTATGGCAATGCTAGAGGCATGGACTAAGCATTGCCCATGTCTTACAAATGGGTCGATGAGTGAGAAAACACGTCTGTCCGACAAACGGTACACGCAACAATGAACGACATGCAGGGGTGGGTGAGTGCATGACAAATGCGGTCCACATAAACATGACTCACAATCAGATAGATGGCGGATGTGACCGAGATTCTAGTAAACACTAGCGCCCGAGTCAGCAATGATCTGATCTGGTCTGACCTTATGGTAGACAAATAAACAAAACATCTGCAATCCGACAGTAGACGTGTGTGACCGCAACGACAGACAGGCGCGAGACTAAGGAGGGGCACACATGGCCAGAGATATATCGGACGAAGCTATGTAATCCAGAAAAAGGCCCGTGTTTGTCTACCAAATGGCCCGTATATTCCCGTCACCAACGAGCAATCAAGTCCGATTAGGTGATCGTCTGAGCCATGCCAAGGATGTACACAGCTCGAAAGAAGAAAACAAAAGTGCGCGCCAATAAACGCGCATAGCCCAGCAGACGGTACATGTGGCTCAAACAAGACCCTGGGTGAGCAGAACAATACTACTCGCGACTTAAACACTCACATCCCAAAAAAGGACCGGTACAGGCACGGAGAAGGGGGTGTCGAGTAGGTCTAGACACCGTTTCTGTAAGACATACCGAAACCAGCATAGTTTTGGCGGCTTTCTCCACAAACGCAAGAATGCCCGAGAAGGACACATCCATGCCTTTGACAATGTACGGCAACTCAATAAACTTTGTGCCTCTGTGTGATGTAAGGAGAGGAACGCGCACGCAGAGTGGGTATTGGATGCAGAGTAGAGTCTCGCCGGACGGAGGAGAATAAACACAAGTCCACAGAAGAATAAACACACATCCCCCCCCCCCACACGCAACGATGTGGGTGTATTTGTTCATATAAACACCAAGAACAGGACATTCAGACCTTCAGACCAGCAAGCTACCAATGTGCACAAACACGCACGCCTACAGGCAAGTATACAGGCATGCACAGGGTCTGTACAGGCATGTACGCCATGAGACAACTGTACTACTACCAACACGTCGATAAGGTAGGTCTAGCTATTAATAAGGTACGTCTAGCTATTGATAAGGTACGTCTAGCTATTGATAAGGTACGTATAGTGTCCCCGTTGAGAGTGGTACGCAAACTGTGGGGAATGAAGAGCGTATACACTTACTTTTTGGCCATCTGCTCGATGTTGTAACCCGGAGCCGGATCATTGGAGATCTGCGGACGTGTGTGCACAATACAAAAGCCAATCAACACACGTCCAGATAACGGGTTCAATGCCTTTGAGTACGCATTGGTTACATTTTAAATTAAGTTTGTGGCAATTAAGCGCCGACAAATTGAGCCCAATACTGGCGTGAGTATCGGAATACCTATAGACAACATCTAGAACGTAAGCCGTATATACGCATTGAAGTGCTGTTGGTAATATTGACTGCAGAACTTTGGCGCACCAAACAATAGCACAGTGAGCTGTCGGGATACTGACCTTAAAAACCACCTATCTGCAGCGTTAAAAAAACTAAAATTAGGTGTAATTGCGAGATAAACTGATAGTGTCTTAAGACAGTCATCGGACGTATTCAACGCAGTATGAGAGTAGCGACAATTCAACTTCAAGAATCATAGTACGGATTGTCAACAGAACTATACAACTGATTCTATATTTGGTAACAGGACTATGCTACTAATTATGTATCTGTCAAAAGAACTATACAACTAATTCTATATCTGTCCACAGAACTACACAACTAATTATACATTTGTCAACAGAACTATACAACTAATTATGTATTTGTCAACATTCTATATTTGTCAACAGGACTATACAACTAATTATGTATCTGTCAAAAGAACTATACAACTAATTCTATATCTGTCCACAGAACTACAGAACTAATTATATATTTGTCAACAGAACTATACAACTAAATATGTATTTGTCAACATTCTATATTTGTCAACAGAACTATACAACTGGTTCTATGTTTGTCAACAGGACTAAACATAACTAAGTATCTATTTGATGCCTTCCTTGTGCCAAAAGGACCAAAAAAAATAGGAAACTTACATTTAGCACCCGCGCGAATCGATCTAGACAGTTTCCAATGGCAATGTCAATTGTCTCTCCGAAGATACGGTACTTCTTCTGTGAATAAGCAATCACCTGCAGAACATAAAACAAATACTGTACGATTACACGGTGGAACAGACAACACATTTACTTATGATAGGTAAGTAGGATTGTACAATCCCAATACTTCTGGCTATACAGCCAGTGGCATACAAGTGCGTATGTGTACTGCATCGGTCTATACAGGTAGAGCTGTGATATACAAACGGATGCGGTGGCAGAGCCATGCCTGTTGCCCTGGGTACTTTAAGCCCAAGTGCATAAGAGGTGTGTGTGTGTGGGCTGGTCTCGCCAGGTGACGTATGCGAAGACTATCCAACAATGCAATTAGAATACTGACACTCGTGTTTCTCCACCACCCACATGCATGGTTTGTGAGCTTCCGCAGTCTTACCGACGACTACTGAGCAGGATGAGACGATGAGGTGCACGCGACAACTATTAAAGACTTCTTCAGCACAACAGCACACTCATGCACACGTTCATGCACACGCTCATGCACACACTCATGCACACACTCATGCACACGCTCATGCACACACTCATGCACACACTCATGCACACACTCATGCACACACTCATGCACACACTCATGCACACACTCATGCACACACTCATGCACACACTCATACACACACTCATGCACACACTCATGCACACGCTCGCCCGTGTGGTCTCAAGTGCGGGTGCTCGCAAAGGACGCAGACCCTGTGGCTGACCTACCTGTGTATTGCCTCCACTCACGTATAGGATTACTGGGTTCTTCGCCCCAGTCACCCTCCTGCCCATCTCGATATCTGTAGTGTGGAAGTCCGGACTATTGATATTATTATTGATTCTATTTTTTGGCATCAGCTTTATGGCGACTTCCCGATACCTATAATTCAAAACACTGGAAACTGTAGTCGACATACAAACAGATCAAAGAACACGAATCACAGACGACACTATGGATGAGATCTGCGGATCTACTAAGCGCATCAAACAATCAGACAATCACATGTACATATAACATGTGAATACAGCTGAAAACATAAAACAAACCGACAGTCACATGTGCACATAACATGTGAATACAACAGACAGTCACATGTGCATATAACATGTGAATACAACAGACAGTCACATGTGCATATAAAACGTGAATACAACAGACAGTCACATGTGCATATAACATGTGAATACTACAGACAGTCACATGTGCATATAACATGTGAATACAACAGACAGTCACATGTGCATATAACATGTGAATACAACAGACCGTCACATGTGCATATAACATGTGAATACAACAGACAGTCACATATGCATATAACATGTGAATCCATTGGCGCTGTGACTGTGAGTGCACATACGGCCTACGCAGTGGTTGACTCCGATGAGAGGCTTCAGCCACAGCTGTGACACCGTCCGTGCCACCACAGCCGTCGAGATTAACGGACCACTCATACCAGGGCCTGTGGTGCAGTGAATGAAGACAGTGTGTGAGAGTGGAGTGGTGTGCATGTGTGTGTGAATGTATGGAAGACAGTGTGTGAGAATGTAGTGGTGTGCATGTGTGTGTGAATGTATGAGCCATGGATATACTGCATGGAGAAACATACGAGTATACGAGCAACTGGGCGAGTGAGGTGTTCGGGTAGGTGCGGTTAAGGCGTGCATGTGGAGTGTCTGTTTCATGCACGAGTCTGCTACATAGAGAGACGATAGAGAGACTATAAGGTGCGTAAAGATTCGTCATGGTTTGCTCTTACATTCGTACAACAAAGTGTGAAATAGTTGGTTGCAAATAGAAAAAAGGGAATGCAGGTGAATGGGTGTGTGAGAGTTGTGATAGCTTGCGGTCGTACATGCTACTGGTGGTGGAGTGATTGCGGATGTCCTTACTCGGAAAACTCATTAGAGCACCCTCACCTGGAATAACCATAGCGCAACCAAACGCACAACCCTCCCTGAAGTAAACAAGCTATGGCAAACAATCCCCAGCACACCAAGATCAGTACATGGACTTAACGCATTCATTGGACACTGGCTCGTCAGGTTCTGGCGTGCACAGTGAATAATACAAAAACTGCGCATGACGTAAAACGTACAAAGGAAGGACACAAACCGTATATAGAAGTCACTACATCGATAAACGCACAAACGAAGGACACACAACCGTACATAGACGACACTAAACCGATAAACGTACTCAAATCAAGAAGGTTGACACAATTAGAACCTCATACCCTTCGTATAGCACACAACGTCGATATCCTTGGGCGTGACGTTCGCTTCCTCCATTGCTTGCTTGCATATCTGCAGCACCCACTTGCGGTGGTGCGCAGCTGTGTCTTTGGGCAGAAAGCCTTGGCCGGGTGGTGTAATGTATGTGTGCCTAGGATTGGAGAGCACTTCTCCATCCTGGCCAGAGCAAGGGCACACTCTGATCAGTATAGTACAGCTCATAGGTACAACAGTCATGATACAACGAGCGTACAATGAGGACGACCGTGTACTGTTGATTCGACATAACTAATATGAATCCTTGTACAAATACAAAAAAGAAAACAGAGAGTATATACATATGTGTTGTGTATGCGTGTTTGACAATACATCTACACAAAACATTTACCCGAAAATATAGATATAGATATACGGTCTATATATATATATATATATATATATACGTATGTGTGTGTGTGATGTATGTATGCATAAATATATGAAAGTAATACTTATAATATATATATAAATTTATATAAATATATATATATATGTGTGTATATGAATATGCATGTATATATACATATATGTATAGATAT